GCCAATGTTGAAATTCAATTTAGCTCTCTGTTAACGAGTTCGAATTCATAATCAATAGAACGTGCATAAAAATGTCATACTTGCAGCGCTGCACTCGTTGTGGGCTATTTTTATCCCTCCAATGCTCACGAACTTGCTGCAATGAATTTTAATCGAAACACTCCTTGACTTACCTGGATTAACCCATCGCTTGCTTCTTCCCCTTTACCATTGCCTTAAAGGCAGAATTACGATGAAAAGTTAGCTCATTGGAAATAAGGGTAGAGGTGGTCAGTGGAGCAGGGATGAAGAAGAAACCATGAAACGGCCCGAAACCCGAGAAATGGGACCCCTTCCTTGCCCGTTGATTTGCGCATTGATGCGACTCTCATCGCTGTGCCCTCTTCAACACTACGCTCTCTCTGCTATCTAATCACTCGCCACGTATAGACCTGCGGCGAGTGATTAGATAGTCGGTGGGCGTACCCCGCCAACCGCGCCAAGAGTGAGCCATGCTAGATCGCCGAGGTCAAATCTTTCGCTGCCAATTGCGCGTCGGTCAGCACCCTCAGGAGGTCCGCCTGTCTCCCAACTATGCAATTTCCCCTTCTTTGACCTTCGTTCTTATCGTGAATTCCTCCTTCAAGTCCTATTAAGAGGTTTCCGACAGATCTCGCGAAGGCAAGACAGCACGTTAGATTAGTCAATCGGTTTCTCTGCCTGGAAGCAGGGTCTACTTTCACGTTTGCACACATTGAAAGATTTTGCGACCTCGACCTGCATCGGCTGGCCCCCGCAAGTCATTGTATAGGCCACATCGCATTCAAACGCCACTACGAATGTACAAATGGAAGTAGAATGCGTGCCGCATCCCAAAAAGGGATTGATCAACGGCAAATGCTTTATCCTTTATCCTTTTAAGGGATTCTCGATGCGACCCCTCACCACAGTCAGCTTTGGGAGCCCCCTCCCCTACCCGACCGCCACCCTCGCCATCATGGCTGCTTCTATAACATGTGATTCAGAGAGCGGTCGATACAGCCCAATTCCGACCAATTTTCCCTTCGAAATGACCGTCGAGGGGAGGTGGAATTGGTACTATGAAACAGAAAATACAGCAGTTTTGCCTCGTTCTCACGGCTTTCGTGTAACTTTCACCAAATTCGTCAAAAAAAAACCCGTCCAAACACAACTCCTTTCGATGATCTCCGTCAACCTCCGTTCCCACTATGATAACCTTGCTCAACCCCAAAACGCGACCCCCTTCACCAAATCACAAATGCGACCCTCTCATTCGAATGGTGCGTACGGGCTGCTGACCCTCCCCGGAAGCATTTGCTGGTAACACGAGTTCTGCATTTCCAAAACAAGCAGCCAACTGGGGCGTCT